TGAAGATTTTGTTTCCATCATTTGGAATAATGGTCTTAAGATGATCGGATGAATGGGAGGTCTTGTTAAAGGATGTGAAATTTAAAAAAGGTATGTCATTAAAATGATCATAGTAATTAATTTGCTAGTGAAGAATGATGAATCATGGCAAAAAAGCAAAATATAGTTGCTTGATTTGCATTTATGCTTGGGAGCTTTTTCTTCCCACAAATCAATAGCAGTTCTCTAGGGACCAAGCAACGGTCCTTAGTTTGCATGAAACAAGTTGACAAGATGTTCAGGATAAAAGTCCAGAGCCCTTTGTCCACTACCTTTACCATAATAGCAATAGACTTATATACTACCCCATAGTGCAGACATGTCAAACACAAGGCCCGGGGGCCGGATGCGGCCTGCAAAGTGGTTTCATGTGGCCCGCGAAGCCATCCTGGAAACAATGAGGAAACGGCCCCCTCTGCCTTGGCCCTGGCCCAGGCCAGCCGGGAGCCAATGTACAATTTTGTGGTGGCCTTCTATGCTGAAACGCATTCAGTCTTAGCTCCATAAGCCCCCCCCCCCCCCCGCGCATGGCCTGAGAGGAACAGAGAGGCTCCTCCAGTGGACCATGCCTCGGCACTTGCCCTGATCCCACCCCTTTCTTCCAGAGACCCCCAGATCTATCCCATTCCTGCCCAGGCCCCCAAAGGCACCCTTGACACGAACGATGTAGAGCTGGCCACACCCACCCAGTAGGCCACACCCACTCCATCCATGCCCACCCAGTAGGCTGCACCCACCTTGGCCGCACCCACCTGGCCCTCTGAGGGCAACCGCAATGCTGATGCGGCCCTCAATGAAATTGAGTTTGATACCCCTGCCATAGTGTCTTACAGCACACTCTGGGTGGTTTACAATGTTAGCATATTCCCAACAATCTGGGTCCTTGTTTTTCTGAAGGATGGAAGGCTGAGTCAACCTTGAGGCCCCGTCAGGATCAAACTTCAGACTGTGGGCAGAATTAGCCTGCAATGCTGCATTCTAACCACTAGGCCACCGGGGCTCCTACATAATGCATTGTCTTTGGGGATTCTCCTTAGGTTTGCCATCTCTCCACCTTCTCTAAAGGTTGTTTCTTTCTCTTTTGTAAAGTCAATTAGGTTGAGAGAAAGTTATACGAGGTAGGATTCTGAATTTCTCCATCCATCCGATGACTTCACTCTGCAGTTATCCATATCATTGTATTACAGTTAAGCAGAAACATCCGTGGAGCAAAAACCATTTGCCAGAGTGAAACAGAACTCTGCTCTAATATTGAAAATGAGTGCAAATGTTTGGAAGAAGCAACGTGGTTCAGACTGCAAACCATCTGCTCCTTTGGGTTGCTGAGAAAAGAGAAATCTGACAATATTGCACATTAGGTTTCCTCGTCGTGTTCTCCAGTTTTGCTGGATGATCTCTGGGGAGCAGCAGGAGTTCCAAAGCAGGATGCTACTTACTGCTGGTGAATTGGAAAGATGACGTTGCAGACCTCAAGCCTTTGTTGCTGGTGGTCCCAGAGGACCTCAACTGAACCTTAGCAAAGGGGTTCCTTAGCAGGGCGGAAAGGTTGATATTCAGACCATAAGCCCATAACTTCAGCATCCATCTCAAACTATATATTTTTTGTTGATTTAATTAGAGGTTTCATATATGACTACACCCATGTTTCTAATATTTCATAGACTGGGTCCAAAATCCAGCTGCCTGACTGGAACACTCAGACAGTTCCCTCATCCCCGCATTGCAATCTTTCACCTCTCAGGCCCCCTTTAGGGAGGGTCTCCAGTTTGCAGAAGGGGACGAAGAGTTAAATCTGAACCTTCGACCTGGAAAGAGGTCTTTGTTTGGGTTTAATTTCTGAGTTAAGGATGAACACACTGAACAAGGATCCAGATGCAGTGATAGAATTCCTTCGTCAGATCAAATGCAGATCAGACTTCCCTCCTCCGTTGCAAAAGAGATCAGCTCCGTTGTTCCAAGAGAAAGGCTGAACATCCAGACTTGGATGAAATGAAGGAAGCAGTCAGAGATAAGATTCCATGGGAAATATTAATCTGGTGCTTCGATAGTGATCAAGAGCGAACTAGTTATATTAGATGACCTCCAAGGTCCCTTCCAACTTTACTATTATTATTATTATAGATCAAGACAGTGAAGTATTTTCCAGCCTTTGCTTTCACAAAAGTAATTGCAAGTTAATTTTAGAAAGCTACGTATCCATCATATGTTCCCTTTCAAGGTAATCAGGGTGATATAAAGCAAATAAACAGTGTAAGACAAGAGTCAGCAACTATGGCAACTTTACACACTCCCAGAATTCCTGAGCCAGTAAAGTTGCCATAGTTGCCCACCCCTAGTATAAGAAATAAGAAACCAGAGAAATTAAAGGCAGAAGATAGAAAAGGGGGAGGGGAGGTGTCCAAAAGTCAAGATGGCTGCCGCAACTGCATAGTTGAAGCACCGCCCCTTTTTGAATGTGAGGCGTGGCTTTGATCACACTGTCATCTTGGCTTTTTTGATCCGAGAAGAGGAAAGTTATCCAAATCTAGTTTGCACCAACTCCATTTGCTGCCTTTCCATCTTTACAAATCAATGCAAACTATTCCTGCTTTCCAAGTATCTATACACCACTTCAAACACCCTCTCTTCTGTAAAATTCTCATATCTATCTTTTTCAGGATCTGATGAATTTCATGCCCTCTCATTGGTCTCCTTCCACCTAGACCCTCATCCTTTGTTTGCATTACAACCAGAAAAAAATATAATGCATGAAAATATTAATCTGAATTCAGTGTGTGTATGTGTGTGTGTGTGTGTGTGTGTGTGTGTGTGTGTTTTTGCAGTTCAGATACTCATCCATTAATCTATTGTATTATCTTTGCCTAAAGATTTTTTTTCTACAGCCCCCCAGAAAGTCTACATTTAAGATATTTTTTTTTTTAAGTACTCAGATTTTCACTTGAGAACTGGTTGCAAAAAGCCACCTGGAATAGCAAAAAAGCACACCTCCCGCTTCAAAATGGATGAGATGCTGTACCCATTACCCATTGCATATTGTTTGACCTCAGGTGGCTGAATGAGAAGATCTAGTGAGGTTTGGAGAAGAAAGTTAGGGTTAGGGAGAAAGGAGACAAACCTTCCTGGATGGATGCCAAGAAAATTACATTTATGTTCCTTTGAAGACATTGGGAATTTAGCTTGATCAAGAGAGGATTCCATTATTATCAAATAGCAAAATTTGGTTCCTACCTTTTAAAAAGAAGAACATATTTTCTACTTTTTTTTAAAAAAAAAGGCAAATGTCTAAAAGTCCATAATAGGGAGGAAATAGAAATATACCATGGATTTCTATGGAGTTGGATCAGGAACTCTGCCACACAATAACAAATAACAGCAGAGTTCACTAAGGTCTTCTCTATCAAAAATACATTCACCCATACAAATAAAAAGACACAAGCACACTTTTAGAGAGATACATTTGAAAAAAAGTATTTCTGAAAATTGCAGGGGGTAGACATGCTTTTAAAGAGGATCTGCTTTGAGAAACTTTGTGCTATTTATTTATTCGCTATTTAGAAACATAACAGCACCTCAACAATATAAAGAAGATAGAATAAAAAGATGCCCACCTCAAATCAGGGGAAAGATCTTTAGGAACTTTGGACAGACCAGGAAAGAGAGAAAGAGCAGAAAAACTGCCCTGAGCTTCCCTGAGCATTTATCTCTCTCTAGTGAATCAGACCAGTTGGACCGAAACTGACTGGAAGGCTTAGCGCTTCTAGCCTCCTGCCTTAACAAGGGTGCCTAACTGGCTCTCTGGGGGCACATTAGCCCTCTTCAAATACCTTGGAGGAGGGAGGCATTGTTAGTCTGCTCAGATAAATCAAACAGGAACCACAACTAGGCAAATTAATTTACTTTATTGTAAGGCTACATCAGACCAAGTCTGATAGTATGGAGGTCCCACGGTGTCTCTTTCACAGCCTGGGAAGTCGGGGAGGTCCTTCCTGGGTTTCTTTCTCTGCCCTCTCTCGGGGAGGGGATGCTCCCTACGGGGTGGGGGGGGGAGAGACGCTGCAAGAGCACCACGGCTTCTGAGGGCGGGGGCAGAACATTCTAGAGAGAAGAGTACAGTAAGGGGCTGCTGAGTCCAGGGCCGGATGGGGGGGGGGGGAGGAAGAGCTTAGGATAGTCGCAGCCGAGAATCTCTCAGGATGCATCTTGCAGGTTAGAATGGCAGAGCTTCAGTCTGGCCAGATTCTGTCTATTGTGGGATTTCGCCATCTCATCCTTGGGCTTGGGCCCGAGAGGAAGCAATGCGAACTAGCACTTCCCAGCCTTCATGGCTGCCCTCGGACCTGAGGCCCAATTCTAAGTCTGTGTGAGCAGAGGCGGTTCAGAGAGCTGATGGAAATGGGACTGATCGGGTCTCCTCACCGAACAGCTTCCCCAAACCCCCAAGCCACGTTGGGCAAGGTAAGCTTTGAACGGATGGTCTTCAAAGCAATACAGGCCATCCTTCTCAGGGGCCTTTTCTGAACTGACCTCCAAATTGTGTCAACTGATCTGATCTGCCCATTGGGGAGTTTCATATGGAACTGCGTCAAAAAAGGGGTTGGACTCAAATTTCTTCCCCAATTTACAGAAGCTCCCTCGCCACCATCACCAGCCTGTAAGTTGGGCCAATTCCAGGTAAGTGGCGACCCTAACTAGTGGCGTAGAATGGCAAAGAATAATGGCTCAACTTTGGCCGCTTTAAGTTGTATGAAGTTCAACTTCCAGACGTCTCTCCGCCTCCCAGAGTTGAAGTCCACACACCTCAAAAAGGCCGAGGTGGAAGAACACCAGCAGAAGGATGAAGACTCTGGCCGCCTTGCCAAAAGGTGCTGGTTTTTTTCAAGGTTTCCAAGGACTGAGTTTCTCACGATCTTTCAGCTGATTCTCCCCCCTTTTTTCCCCTTTTCCCTGCTGTGTCCCCACAGGGAGCAGAGAAGCCGCCTTCACCTACGCCATCACTGCCGCTGGTGTTGCCCACGCAATCACGGCAGCCTGCAGCCAGGGAAACCTCAGCAGCTGTGGTTGCGACCGAGAGAAACAAGGTTACTACAACCAGGAGGAAGGGTGGAAGTGGGGAGGCTGCTCTGCTGACATCCGATATGGCATTGACTTCTCCAGGAGGTTTGTCGACGCCAGAGAAATCCGAAAGAGTGCTCGGAGACTGATGAACCTGCACAACAATGAAGCTGGCAGAAAGGTATATTATACAGGGCCGTATGCTGTGGGAGAGGGGAGACCTTTGCGGGTCCCGGGATGGCTAAATTGGGGACATGCATCTGGACTGTAAGACTGCAGCCTGTACATGGATGGTCACGGGCTGAATGATGTTCTGCGTGAACAAAACGCGATAAAGCTTTCGTAGTGAGGAAAAGGAGAAGATCTCCATGGCAAAGTTGACCTTCATAGGGAAGGATAGGTGTGCACGCACAGTGTGTGAGGATACAGACGATGCTTCCACAGTGACCACTAAGAAAACAAACTGGTGGGGGTGGTGAGGGTGGTGTTGTAGACACTTTCCGACAGCTGGGGAATGGCTTTCAAAGAAGCTGCATAGGCCTTGAAAAGGATGTGGCTGTTTTAACACTTTGAGAAGAACCCCTTTGGCTCAGGCTTATAGGAATGTCATCCATGTATGCTGCTTGCCTGAATAGCCTGATATTGCTCAGTTCAAGCCCACGTCGGTGGTTTTGCTTCAGAGCTTGACCCAGAAAGGAATGGTTGGATTCAGGAGCTTCTGGTTCAACCCAACAATTTTGAAAGTTTTCTGTCTGTTACCTTCGGTTCTGGCAGTTAAAAGTAGCTTAGGTTTTATTTCATCCAGCATCTGGTTTGAAAATGAATATCTCCACCAAGAAAAACACAAAAGTAGGGGGTGTCCGCCAAAACTAACACGTGCAAAATGCTACTACTGGTTTTATACATTTGATCGGGGTTGTATTCCTAGAGTGTCTAAAAATTATACGATGCCTGATGCCTAATTTCATAGTGAAGCCATAGGCTGGAAGCATCCTGTCTTGATTCCCTTTCTTGATAAATATGGTCTGTCCTAAATGAAAGGGGAACTGATTGTAAATGTTTCACAAGATGTGAGGGATGGAAGGAGGGATTTTATGTTTCAACACTAACTTTCACAAAGGGAGCTGCACAGTCTTTTTTTTAAAAAAGCCCTCTAGAAGGGGAAAGTTTTTGGAAGTCAAAGACTGGGCCAAGATTCAGGATTGGCTCCCAGTGAAGATCTGAAGCCCAGAAAAGTTAATTTTCATGCTTATTGATCTTCAAAGACATTTTTTAAAAAAATCTGTCCTAAATGAGTCAAATTGCAAAGATCTTCACGGTCTGTACAATATAAACATTTATTCATTGTTGGCAATCTATAACTGAAGGCATTCCCAGCTACTGTATGGGACTGCACTTTAATTCTCCATAAGAGAAGATTACCTAACACAAAGTGAATAAGAAAATATTTATAAGGTCCTTTTCTTTGAACAACACAACAGTCCTTGGCGTACTGAATTGTGTATTAAAGTTCTCAGTGTCTTCAAAAGCAACAATGCTGGATACAACTTGAAGACCTCAGAGTCCTAGAAAAGAGGAAGCTTAGCCTTTAAATCTCTTTAGATCAAGTGGGAGATGTAATCCTATCACTATGTCTGCTTTCCAAGGAAGGCACTGACTCAGTTGAGTTAAAAATCAGGAATCTGGAACCATTTTTTTCTGGCCAACAAATTATATTAAAAGGTAGAACTTCTTAAATCAAATTTCTGATTTTGGCCACTATAGACTAACCCAAATGACAATGTCATCTGAGTGAGAATCCTAGCCGATAAATAAACTGGCAGATTTAATTAAATACATATTAATTAATATGAGAAATGCAATTTATTCCTTAAGACTGTGAGGGATAGCTTCTAAACATTATTAGCTTAAGGCACAGTTCCAACTAAAATTAAAGTAGGTTTCCAGTGATATTCTTTCACTCTCCTTTGAGGCAGAGCAAATTCATGGGGCTGCAGGGCAAAACAGGGCATCCGTGCAACTGACCCTTACAAGGAATCCTTGTTTGGTGACTGTTCTAAGTACAACGGTGCTGAGAAAAGAGACTACCAGTCCGCGCACTTTCAACCGTTGCATCGTCACTGGGATTACATGATTACAGTTCGCGTGCCTGGCAGCTACCGTAGATTGATGACAGTTGCAGCGTCTGAGGTCTTGTGGTCGCCATGTACAACTTTCCCAGCCGGCTTCTGACTCGTGGTGAAGACACCCGGCTAGAAACCCGGGAGAGGGAGAATCCCAGCCAAACATTTTGGGCTGGCCCAGAGGATCTTCCTGTTTAAATGATCCTTTCCAGACTTTCTCCCAGTCCAAATGAGGAATATTAAATCCTCCCAACTCTGTGACATTTGGGGCAAATTGGTCGCAACCCTTCATCTGCTTTTCTTGTTCCTGGTTCCTTTCTCTCTTTTTGCCCTGAACAAGGCCGGGGAGACGGCACGGACTCTTGTCGTCTCTGCTCACTCTGCCCATCATCTCTCTCGCAATGCACAGACACGCAGTCACACATACCTGACGCCACTGCAGCATCAATGTAGGCTGTGTTGACCTGGGCTAATAATGGATTCAGGTGCTGGGTGGTGAACCTAAATTTCTTGAGACAAGAGAGGGGCTATCGGGTTAGCAGAAGTAGAGAATGTGTTGAGAAACCAAAAGGGGGACCCCCCCCATCCTAAAATAGCCAGGCACCCCTAGTGGATTGAAAATAAGGCCAGAAGGAGGTGGCAGTCGAACCTCTTCCCCTTTCCTCCATCTGCACAAAGACGTCCCTGGTCTAGATTCCCCTTGGAGGAAAAACCAGGGGCAGCCTCAGATAATCGGATTTGCTCCCTTGTCAGATTCAGAACGTAGTTTGACTAGAATGGTCTCCCTTCGGTGCTGGGAAGCCATTTATATCCTAGAGCTCTACCAATGTCTTCTATGGGAACAGATACGGGCAGTTAATCCATCGTCAGAAAAGATGTAATGTCGGGTGCTGAAAGCTTGAGGCTTCTTGGCCTCTTCTCCCAATCCAGAACTCTCACATTCAAATATTGTGCCAGAAAGGTGTGGAAAGAGCAGTATGGAAGGAAGGAAGGAAGGAAGGAAGGAAGGGAGGGAGGGAGGGAGGGAGGGAGGGAGGGAGGGAGGGAGGAGGGAGGGAAGGGAAGAGAACGGAAGGGAAGGGGAGAAGGCAGGCCATGCATTTCAATTTAGCCAATTAAACCTCTCCCAAAATAGGCACTTACTTAATCTACTTAAGTAAGTAGTATGAAAACAATATTATTGAATTAGTGGTTACACATTACAGGGACGGTTGTGGATTGTTTTATGTAGCCCAGACTGGTGTCTTGCTATTGTTGCCCGTAGCAACTGACTGTATCTGGGGCATTCCTCAAGAGGGGGATCCCATCGATGGGCTCTGCAAAGAGGAAGGGAAGCGCAATTGATCCCCCTGCCAGGTTTATTCTTGCCTAAATGGCTTCACAATGAATCCAGCTCTCGCTTTGCTGTGGAGATCTCCTGCTGCACATTCATCAGTGCAAGTCAAGAAATTGATCCGGTTGCTCCCCTCGGCAGCCCGGTTTGCTACTGCAAAATCCTGGGAAACAGAACCGTGTCTTTCATGGGCTCCATTGTGTTCCCAACTGTTGAAAATTGTACGGGAAGAAAAATTAACATAACAAGAAAAAGCAATAAATAATCCTACAGTGAAACATAAACTTAGATCAATGTGGGCATCGTGAATTAGCTGAAGTTGGAAGTAAAATGCTTAGATTGACATTCTGAATATAGTAAAGTGATTCTCCTTGAGGTTATGAAGGTCTTCATTGGGGTAGAGTTTCTCCCAATTATCCTCTCCTTCCCCTTTCCATTTATATTCCTTCCCTTCCCTTTCTTCCTTTCCTTGTTTTCCTTTTCCTTTCAAGAAATTAAGTTGTATGGGTGAGCTCAGGACCCATAAGAAGCGAATGAAATACTATGCTGTATTCCTTCCAGCCAAAAAGAAGGAATCTTGTTTAATTTCCATGGATTTTAATGTATTTATTTATTTATTTATTTATGAGACTTATATACCGCTTTAAGTACAAGCACTCTCTAAGCGGTGTACACGAGTAAGCAATGTATATATATATTTACATTGCCCCCAACAATCTGGGTCCTCATTTTACCTACCCCGGAAGGATGGAAGGCTGAGTCAACCCTGAGCCGGTGAGATTTGAACCGCTGACCTGCTGAACACAGTCAGCTAAAGTGGCCTGCAGTACTGCACTCTAACTGCTGCGCCACCTCAACTCTTTTCTCTTTTAATGAGAAAATGATGCAATCCTGTACTCCAAATGAAACCAGTGGGATTTAAAATAGGCTGCATCTTGACAGGTCGCGTCACTAATATCTACAGATGTTTTGTAACTTTTAATGAACCTTGAAGGTCCAGCATTTAAGATCAGCCAAGCAGAAGGAAAGCCGTGGCCTGTTGTTGTCATTTTGTTCTCCCTCTTTGCCTGCGCAGGTGCTGGAAGGACGGATGAAACTGGAGTGCAAATGCCACGGCGTTTCTGGTTCCTGCACCACCAAGACCTGTTGGACTACACTACCCAAGTTCCGAGAGATCGGATATATTTTGAAAGAGAAATACAACGCTGCCGTGCAAGTGGAAGTGGTTCGGGCCAACCGGCTTCGGCAACCGACCTTCCTGAAGATCAAGCAGATCAGAAGCTACCAGAAGCCGATGGAGACCGACTTGGTCTACATCGACAAGTCACCCAATTACTGTGAAGAGGATGCTTCCACGGGGAGCGTGGGGACCCAGGGGCGGCTCTGCAACCGCACCTCCCTCGGGGCGGACGGCTGCGGCATGATGTGCTGCGGAAGGGGCTACAACACCCACCAGTACACCAAGGTGTGGCAGTGCAACTGCAAGTTCCACTGGTGTTGCTTTGTGAAATGCAACACCTGCAGTGAACGGACAGAAGTGTTCACTTGCAAGTGACCTTAAGACGGAGCAACGTGAACATGGACACAACCGCCACTTGGTAGTGTGGAACAAAATAACTACAGCATCATTTTGCACATTTTTCTTGGTTTCTTTTCCTTTTTTTGGTGGGAAGGGGGTAGAACCAATCTCTTACTCGTTCCTTGCTAACACAGTCGGAGGAGCAATGCGTAATCTGTTGGCTAGAGTTGCTTTGATTCCCTTAGTCCAAGGGACCCTGGGATGGGACGATGGGTTAGGATGATGTTATTCCAGGTGAACAGCTTTTCCTTTTGATTCCCCCTCCCTTTGCCCACCACAGTCTGAGGTGTTGTAGAGTTTTACTCCTAGATTAAGTTATGCGTACAATACGATAGACACAGATTCCAGGAGGAGATTTTCAAATTCAGAACGAGCACCAAGATGTGCAACAGAGACCATTTTTTTCCTATTTAAAAAAAGGACGAAAGAAAGAAAGAAAGAAAGAAAGAAAGAAAGAAAGAAAGAAAGAAAGAAAGAGGGATTGAGATGCTAAGTCTAAAGCTAAGATTCCCTCATTGTTGCCCCAACACTTATTTCTGAGAAAGAGAGGGAATGAAGTAGAGACAAAGGGCAGCAGCTCAGACAAATGAAACACGGGGTTGGGAGGAACTTCGATGATGGATTCATAGATAAAATAAAAGAGGAAATTCTGACAGCTCCCGGTAACACTGGAAACTTTTGAATGGACATTTCAGCAGGAAAAAAAGGTTCTCTTATTTATGTTTTTAATATTATCAAAACTTTCTAAGCACTAACGGGTAGCCATGTCTTTACTCTGAACTAAATGTAAAATCACTGGAGCTCTGACTTCTTCCATTTTCATTCTGGGCACCTGGTTCTCCCGGACTTTTTCCCAGGGCTACTGACCGCCTGGCCCTGCTGGCCGCTGACCAGGGGACCATTGTCCCCGGGCCGAAGGGCCCTTCGGGAGGAAGGAGGAGCCACTCCGGGGGAGGGGTGGAATGATGACTAAAAAAAGGCAGCCGGCTTGTTCTGCAGCACAAAGCTGGGGCAAGAGAGCAGCCGCACCCCGGAACGGGACAACTCGCTGCAGCCGACTCGCCGAGCTTGCCGTGGGACAATTTAACCATTCAGTTTAATTATTTAAAATAAGTGAGAAACTGTTCTAATTTCTCTCATTTTCATTTCATTTTGTCCCTCCTTTTGCATACTCTCTTCAATGGTTCTATTCCACCATTTCTTTGATATTTGTGTAGCTCTTGTCCCACAGTGAGATGGTCATGGCTGGTTGTCCCACCGTGAGTTGGCTGCAGCAAGTTGGCCGTTGCGCGTTGGCTGTGGCGAGTTGTCACAGGCCCCCTTGCTGATGCTAGACAAAGACAAGCAGGGATATCCGCAAAGGGGGGAGGGGTGCAAAACAAGTCAAGATGACAATCAATATGGCAGCCGTGGTGATGCGTCCTCTTGACACTCCTGGGGATACGTTAAGCTTATACACATTTATTGCTTTATTGGGATGTGTATTTGGATAGGATGTGTTTTTGGATTCTTCCTTTCCTGAAGGTCCTCTCTCTGTTTGTGTCATGTTTCTAGGTCTGTGTGATCCATCTCAGTTGAATGGGACTTTGTATAAAACTGTTACATGCACTCAAATTTCTCTTCCAATCTTCTGCAAAGCACTGAGGATCTTCGTAGATTATGTAGATGTATATGGAGGAAGACCGTTGTATAAGTCGCTTAAAACTGGAAACAAATCTAGGCTTTATCCGGCAATTGGTGACACTTCAATTGGTGAGAGGAGAGAGCTTCCCTTTGTGAGTCATGAATCGCCAAATTTGGTGACTTCTAGAGATGAGGAATGACCCCATTACACGCTATATTATGAAAATGATATAAGGGGTCAAAAACAGCAAAATGGCAATGCAACTGCACGATTGATGTCCTGTCCCTTTTTGATATGGGATACATTTCATGTAAAAAAGGGTCCGAGCTTCACTTGTGTCACGGCGGCCACAGGTTTGATATTTTTGATCAATTCAGGTGCCCTAACAAAGATATAGATATATTTCCAACCCTTCATTTTGAAAATAGGGTCTGGTGCAAGATATACCACTGACTATTTGCTTAAACTCTTCTCACTAAATGCAAATTCAGTCTGGATTGTTTGATAGAGAGCTACGCCATTAACTCAGCTGGTCGTTCTCTGGGGCCTTTCTGACATCACATGTCTTGTGATTATATCTATTCCTTTTTTTCCAGTCTGCCAGCAATCACAATGGTATTAAGGATGCAGAGCAGCACAATGCCATTACAATATCCTCGAATTGTGGTGTCACACCTACTGCTATGCTGAGGATGCGTGAAAACAAAACCCCCTCCTCATCCATTCTCCTAGGCCAATCTTTCTTCACTTCAGCAACTTGAGGATGGGTGTACTTCAACTCCCAGAATTTCCCAGCCAGCTATGCTGGGGGTGGAAGTACACCCCTCTTCAAGTTGCCGAAGTGGAGAAACACTGTCCCACACAGTTCGCTACAAATTTCTTGCAGAGAAATCCCTGTTATTTTTCTCCCCTGGCGTAGGAACCCCAATTTGACATTCAGTCGCAAGTCACCCGTTGTGTGTCAGCATGGCTGAGCGGCCGGCAACTCAGAGGAAAAAGCCCTTTTTGCAGCGTTAGCGTTATTCGGCAGTGGCCTTTTCTTATTGTTTCATAATTTCCAGGTTTAGACAGGCTTTTTATTGGCTCTTTGGAAGAGATTAACATGCTAACCCCATGCCAGAAAAATAATGTAAACAGCAGTTGTTGAAGCACTTGCTGCAGCTGCCGATGACTCAGTCGCACCGTAGAACAAGCTAATACAAGGCTGGTGTATTAGTCTGAGTTATTTTTAGTGACACAATTAATCTAACTAACGTTGACAGCATAAAACCATCCTTTTGCTTCCCAATAGACCTCTTTGAATATTGCTTTTTTAAAAGGCATATTCTAAAACAATACAGCATGCGATACAAAGAGGGTGTGCTTGTAAACACGTATGTTCTCCTAAGCAAGGGATGGAACTGGTCTACTACAAACTTGAAAGTGTGACGTTAAATCACACTGTTTAAGTCTTGAGCAAGTAGCTGCTACTGAAGCTCCCTGCCTAGCATGGGTGTCCCCAAAGGGAGAGGGTAAAAAAATCAAGATGGGGACCACCACGGCTTCTCGTATACGTGAGAAAAAAACCAGGACTTCAATCATCCAGTTGCAGCCTCCCTCTTGACTTACTTGACACACGCAGCCCTGGAATAAGTTCAGGAAGCTGTGTTGGAATCACTCAATGCAATACTTGTGGCCTCAAAGAGGATACGTGGCCTTGGTCTTCCTCTTCCAGGGTTGGGAGGTGCAGATCAGAGCTTTCAGACAATTCACTTAGTTCTTTGTGAATGTAGTTAGATAAGCCAATTGTATCTATCTGATCTGGATAATTTTGATCCTTTCCGTCCCCAGACTGATGGAATGTGTGGATCTGGTAGGATGTTATACACAATACAAATGAAGCAAATGTGTTTACAGAACAAGGGGACCTGACCTGGCGTCAAATCTTTCTCAAGTCTGCAACTCTCTGAACCTTCCAAAAGTTTTTTTACCAAGTTTAATATTATTCCAATTTGAGGATGAAATTGTTGAATCAGAAAATAATCATACCAATTGTAATTCATTTTAATTACATACAAATGTAATGGAAATTAAGCCAATTTTTGCTGGAGTGCAACAACCGATATTTCATTCAACACTATTGCTTTCATAATACCAGTTACCAAATTTCACAAGGGAATTCTAGACTTGGAGGGAGCCCTTGAGACCATCCAGCTGAGTATTTTTCAAACTTGGCAACTTTAAGATGCATGGATTTCAGCTCCCAGAATTCCCCAGCCAGCATGCTGAGCTTCAGTCCATGGCCTCAAAGAGCAAACAGAGACTACACTATAAGGTGGGTGAGGGAACATTTAGTGCATGACTGTCAGTGGCCATGATTTAGTGAGCTGTCTATGGGAACCAGATTCACCCCAAATGCTAAGCCATGGTTTTTAAAAACATAATGGCTTCAAGCATAGAACATTTTTGTCCAAATCACAATTCAGCCAGATTCTGAAATGATTTAATGTAGGAAGCTGTATCAAGATCATTAGTGACGGTACAATATCCTCGAGAATCCTTATCAAGTCCAGAGGAGTAAATGATAACACAAGTGTGTGATGCCATCACCACACAGATGCTGCGCATTGGTTGAGAAGTCGACCCAGAAGAGCAGCATTTGTGTGGTGACGGCACAGAAAGGAAGATATTGTACATTTGCCTGCAATACCTCCAGGCCTGTTGAAAAATATATCTTGGATCAAATCATCATTTATTGTACTTGATTCCATGTCACTTATTTATCTCACTGCTTTGTGGCAGAACAGGCCATATTTTAGCATTCTTGGCTCATAATTAAACAGTTTTTTTTTTAAAAAAAAAACATGCTTTAAATATAAAATGTGAAGCCGTGTGGTGCCCCCAAATGCAATTATGAGCATTAGAACAAGTTCATGATTTTGGCACCCATCAAATATTAAACTTCACAATCTCTCTGTTCTAAAATGTTTAATTTCATTTCATTAGCATTTAGCAAAACTGTCCCGACATCAGATACACAGACTGAAATCACAACAAAAGCTGATCTCAATGCATTTGGAAAATATTTCAATGTTAAGTGATAATTCTGTGAAGCAGAACACCCAATTACAAAATTCACTGAGTTTTCAGATGAGGAGCAAAGTTACTTTAATTGGTAGAAATATATTTCCCTTTCTTTTTTAGGAAACGTGATTGCTCAATTTTGATGAAGATTGTCATAACAATTTTAATTTTCAACAATTTCAAAAAGTTTTTGCATAAAAATGTCAGCTTCATTTGTAGAGATCCCGTATCTCTGATGATCTTCCTCATGAAATTCTGGAAATGCACTTAGGAATCTGCGCCAACAGCCAGGGGTGCCTGCAGGAAAGAGCAGCCCAACATCAAAAAAGGCTGATAAAAGGGGAGGAGCTTCAACCATGCATTTCTTGACTCTTTTGCCCTGGTTCTACTGATGCCACTACCTACAGCTCATTCGCAGGTTCAGCCCCAGATCCTCTTAAGACAGGGGTCCCAATCCCTGGTCCTTGGACCAGCATCCGGCCGCGTCATGCCAGCAACCGGTTCACCCAAACAAGCAAAGCCCATCTGTGGGATGCAGGCAGCATGCAAAACCAGGCTCCCTCCAGTCCACGAAAAAATCTCTCTCCACAGAACCGGTCCCTGGTGCCCAAAGGTTTGGGGGGGGGGCAGCTGCTCTTAAGGCATCTATGAACAGATTGATAGCATATAAAGTATCTTATAAAATATACTTCCATTCCGGTCAAAGACTGTAACCAAAATCGGATGGCTATGCAGATATTTCTAATCAACCATCATAAGCATCTTTCCCCATCATCACCTGTGGGTTTTTCTTTCCTTGCTCCTCTTCCCCAGCAAAAAATAAAAATAAAAAAATCAATGTCTGAAAAGTGTTAATTGCCTCTACAGTTGAGCTGAGCCCTCAAGAAGGCTTCACCCTTCCCTTAGAGCAGGAGAACTGACGTAGAACAATTTCTTAAGCTCGCATTAGTTGCAGTATCATACTTCCAAACACAGTCCCGTGGCACAGGATATTGTAAATATGCCAGTAATATTTGTGGAGGGTGGGTATTCACTTAAGTTATATTATTCTATATCGTTTAAATGTCTATGAAAATTATTTTAAATTATTGTGAGCAACACTGAACAAAGGTGTGTGTATGTATGTGTGAGTATTTACACTGCATTCACAGAAGTTGAATATCTCCAACTCCTTTCTGCTCAGATTGATTCTCCTTGCGGCAGAGCTTCACTTGCACTCTGATGCATGCAAAGCGTTTTTTGTGTGCGAATTGTAAATGTAAGAGAGAGAATAAAAAGGACATATTGCTATCCCACCGAATGAACACCAGGGCCTCTTGCAGGCAGGACAAACATACATGTTACAAAACACATCCCCAAATTCATAGCATGTTGCATTAAACATGAAACAGCCCTTCCGTTATCCATGCATGATGGTTGTCCCCAGGACCTGGTCAAGTTTCCTCCTCCCCTAACTTTATTTTAAGAGTTTGCCCAAATGAATCTTGGTTTTACAGACTGACATGAACTTTCAGAAGGCTGTGGGATCTGCTCATCCTCCTGACGGGAGATTTTAGCGAGGGCTTCTCCAGGATCCAAAGCGACGGAAGCACAACATGAAAAGGAATGGAGTGTGGATGGCGAGACCGTGGGAGACCCTGCCAGCGGTGCATCCAAAAGACGAGAAAAGCCTTCTCGGGAGAAGCCCAACCAAGCTTGGTATCGAAGGAGTGGTGACCAAAAAGGGGTTGGGAGTGGGGAGAAAGCCCAGGAAATGCCAAGTGTTTCCAAGGTCAGGCTGTGATTCAAAAGAATTAACGATGACAGAGCTCAAAGCGCTGAACATTAAAGAATTTTCAAAAACAAATACATCTCAGCTGTGCTTGTTTCTTGGGTGAATAGGAGAAAGTATTTTAAAAGGTATTTTTTATATTGCATCAAGAGGAAGCACTGAGGGGCAATCTCAGGTTGGGTTCCAAATTTGGGGATGTCAACTGTTGGATCTGGTTGATCATCCAACCATCCCCAGCAGGGATCAAGTAGAAGCCAGGAGATCATATCTGGATGCAAATGTTTGGGACATTTGACAAAAGCAGCCTTTCTTTGGGCTTCCCATGCCTTTGTAAGTTTCAAAATACATGCACAAAATATGCATAGCATTAACAGAGACATAGACACTGTAGATGGATGTAGGTGCAAAAATAGAGGTGTGTGTGTGTGTGTGTGAGAGAGAGAGAGAGAGTGTGTGTGTGTGTTTACTTAGAGCACAGCAAGGCCTTTAACAAAGGAGACCACAGCCTATTTCTTGGTAAGATGGAACAATATGGACTATGCACGTAGTCCTCAATGGAGCTCTATTTACATGGAAGGAAGCATGCAGTGGGATACCTCAGCTGTCTTGGGACCAGCGATGAGGAGATAGAAGGGGATTTTGCAGACAATACCAGACTGGGGGGATTTGGAAGACAGAGTCAAGATTCAAAAGAGAGACTTGAGCAGTTCAGGGGTGAGAAAATTAAGGTCTGGTGTCTAGGCAAGAGAAATCAAATGCACAGCTACATAATGGGCAACACCTGCTCAACAGCAGTAACTGTGACAGGGATCTCCAGTCGGTGTCTTTGTGGACTGCACTTACATATGAGCCAGCGGTGTGCTGCAGTTGCCAAAAAAGCCAATGCAGTCCCAGGCTGCCTCAACAGAGGGTAGCATCAATTTCATGAGAAGTGATAGTAGCTCTCTGTACACTTGGAATGCTCCATCTGTTTCTGGTTGCCCCCATACAAAAAAGATGCTGAGCCCCTAGAAAGAGTGCAGAGAAGAGCAATAAAGATATCAGGGTCTGGAGGATAAACCACATGGTGAATGGTTAAGGGAGCTAAGTATGTCTAGCCTATTGAACATAAGGTTTAGGGGGGGGGGTGACATGATAGCTGTCTTCCAGCACTTGAAGGGCTGTCACAGAGAATTGGGGACAGGTCTATTCTCCAAAGTACCTGAGGAAAGGACAAGAAGTAACGGTGGATGATCATAAGACAGTTCCAAACCAGCAATAGCAAAAGCAGTAAGCACTTAGACTTATATACCACTTCACAGTGCTTTAGAGCCCTCTCTAAGCGGTTTACAGAGTCAGCCTATTTTCCCCAACAATCTGGGTCCTCATTTTAGTGACCTCAAAAGGATGGAAGACTGAGTCAACCTTGAGCTGGTGAGAATCGAACTGCTGGCAGTCGGCAGAATTAGCCTGCAATGATACTGTATTCTAACCACTGCACCACTAGAACTAAGGGGGATTTTCTTAACAGAACAATTAACCTGTGGAACGGCTTGCCTCCAGAAGTTGTGGCTTTCAAGAAGAAACTGGAGATTTGTCTGAAATGGTATAGGGTCTCCTACACCGTATACCTGCTATTCTATGTTCTGGCTCTTGGGGAGGTGGGGGTGGGAAAGCACTAATGAGAATGGGCTTTATATTAAGAGGATATCATTAGATCACATAGATCATTAAAGTGGTAATGGTAATTACTTCTCTGCCTTTCTAGGATCTTCACAGCAGCCCCTGCATGTTGGCAGTGCATGTACAAAGAGCACGGCCCTGGATTAAGTGCTGCCACCGCCATCTTGCCTTCTTGGGCCTTCCAGGCAGATGCCACTGGAGCTTCCACATATCCAACAATAATTTTAAGCACTTTTTCAGATATTTGTTCAGAGATGGCAGGAACATTATAGAAGGTTTTTCTCCTTTCCAGAAACCGACTCAGCCTTTTTAGGATCACTGACCATCTAACAAGGATTGTCAGGAAGTTCTAGTGTATAAACTTAGTAGAACTGCACACCTTTGTCAACAATGGGGCAGAGAGTTTATCTTCAGATTTATGGGATGCTGTCTTCAATATTGCTCCACAGATTTTTTTTTTTAAATTGCTGCTATTCTATAGTTCATAAACAGATTTTAGTCGATAGCATCCTTATTCAAGTCTTCTTGATTCAGATTGGTTCTGAATGTATCCTCTGATGAAATGGGTTTCCATCTTGGGTTTTTCATGGGACTTTTAAAAAATATAGTCAGATTATTCCACCTTCAGAGATATACATGTAAATAACCAACCGGCGTTTCTCAGCCTTAGCAACTTTAAGATGTGAGATCTTCAGCTTCCAGAATTTCTCGGCCAGCAAATTCCTCAATAAAACAGTTTCACAGAGATCCAATTAAAATGATTCCTTCGAACGTTTTAGCCTTCAATTAGATGTCCATTCCTGCCTGGGCTGCCTGGGTCGACAGTGCCAAGATGGTGGCCACGGGTGCCATCTTGACGTTTTTAAACTCCCCACCCTGGATGTCATTGTTGATTCTTTGACAGTTTGTAAATGTTTTCTCTCCATTAGGAGGCATGTTGGTGGTGGCTTCAGGGCCCAAGTGGCTGGTCAAAAGTGCCCTGTATTAGGCCCCTTTTGCATTGCTGCTCCTTCCTTGTCCTATCCTCCAGTGAACTCAGCTTCCCATGAACACAGAAGACAGAACCTCAGCAAGCAGATCGCCTGCTGGGAAAGCAGCAGTGGAGGGTGTGGTAACGATTAAGACACACCACTCCAGTGCTTCCAAGAACAAACCTATTAGAGATTTGTGTTCCACAGTTGGTGGATGTTAGCGGAGTTCGTGAATTTGATTTGATAGGACATTTACTTGAACGCCGAACAAACCACATGGAACTTCAAATGCAGATTCTTTTCTCCCACCCCCAAATCTAAACCTGTATTTAACTCTTGTCAAATCTAGGCCACTGTGCCGAAACCACAGAAGGAGTTCGCTACGGAATGGTTGCTCGCCATAAGCAGTTCTAAGCCTTTGAGCATTTTTTCCAATAAATCTAAAACAGAATGCGTATCATAAAACCTGCCATTACTTTTCTCGTCCTCAAAAACAAGATATATTTTTACTTTTTAAACTTGGGTTCTTCTTTGGTTTCAAAGAGGTTCTTACTGGAAGTGTCCAATAGCTGCAAAGAACAAGAGAAAAAATTCAGATCACTGTGCAATCTATTTTCTATGGTTGTTTTTTTGGGAAGGACACAACTGAGAGTGTAGAAGGTTGGAGCATTACTCTAAATTGAGAGTCAGTAAAGAAATTGGGGTCAACCTATTTTCCAGAAGGTGCCAGAAGGCAAGACAAGAAACAATGGGCATGGCACAAAACAAGCTCTCCAATGTCTTTTTGGGGATGGAGAGACAGGAATTCTTTCGCAAGTCCTTCAAATATTACCCCAAATTTTGAATTGACTTGGACACTTGCAGGTAGTCGGGAATGTCAAAAGTCAAGATGGCAGCCGCAATAAATCAATCTAAGTTCTGCGTGCTTTTTAAGGTCAGCGGCAGGTAGCTTTCTCAGCAAGAAGACTGAAGTGACTTGCTCCAGTCTGCTTCCAAGATGGTTTCTGACTTCTGACATAACGTTCAACCTTGGGATACGTCAAAGTGATGATCGTGCCCGCCCCAGTTTAGCTGCAGAATCTAAACAAGGCTGACTAGCTGCTATCATTAGTTGAGACAGTTGAGACATGGAAATACGACAATTTTTGCTGTTCCTTTTTGAATATTATTAAAAATCCACTTAGTTTCCTTCCTAGTTGTCCTTTTCTCTTTGGCACAGCTGCTCTGTGCTGGGTGAATGTTTGGCTTGGATTACCACAAATAATTGGCAGGACTTTGAAACTACAGGCGGGGCCGGTTTGTGCACTGCAAATTCTTTTTTTAACATTTTTTTATTAGCTTATAATATAAAATACAAAAATACAAAAGCAAACAATAGGAAAGATGGGGAGGAAAGAGAAGGGAAAAGCGTAGAAAAGGGGAAAAAAAGAAAGAAGAGGCATTCATTTCCAACTCCCTTTGGTGCAGTAGCATAGGACAGGTTTAAAATTTACACTAAATTATAGTTTAAAAGAAAATTTCTATAAGATGATGTATCACTGGTATTTAACATCAGACGAGCTATCTAGAATGTACAAAGGTATTTCAAATTAATGTTGGAAATGCAAATATAAAGAAGGGATTTTTTATCATTTGTGGTGGACATGTGACAAAATAAAGTAATATTGGAAGATTCACATCCTAATACAGAAGATTCTTAAAGTGAATATAAAGGTAAAACCAGAAACATTTCTTTTGGGTTTAATGGAAAAAGACTTGGGGTAAAAAATGAAACTTTGATGTTATATATGTTGTTGGCAGCAAGACTACTTTACGTACAAAAATGGAAGAACATTTCGATCCCCACAGTGGACGGACAGTTGAAAAAGTTGATGTTGAGTTAGCAGAGATGGCTAGACTAACTGCTTTGATTAAAGAAAAAAAATATAATTATTTTTGTTTCCACTTGGAAACCGCTTCTGGACTTTGTGCTCGAGGTGGGAAAAAAATGAAACCTTGATTTTGGGTTTTACTGATTAGATAGGTCTGTTGTTATAGAAATGGCTAGTTTATACTGCTATGTAAAAGTGAAAATGTGAGGTTTGATGTTAATTATCCTATTCTACTGCACCAAAAGGAATCAGGTTTTTGCATTGCAAATTTTGAGTAGGAGTGCAAAATATATTAATCCTAAATTACATGAAACATATCCTGATTCTGTCTGTAGCTCTCAGTTATAGGAATACAGTATTAAAGTCGGGCTCACTCTACATTGCTCAAGCATGCATAAAGGCCTGAGGCTCGTTAGAGAAAACACACCGCAGTGGAAATTACTGGATAAAATCCTTCTTCTTGAAAATAAATTTTAAAAAAAGATGAAGAAAAAAATGGCAGCAATGCAGAAAGACAGGTTTGCTCTGTACGTTTGTTCCAACCAATCTGGCCAAAAGCCACCCCTG